CCATGCGCGATATCCCCCCTGTAACAATACTGTTTTTTATGAATTTAAGCTGTACCTAGATGGTTCATTATAACATTATTCCAACAACAAAAATATTTTTTGTTAAAATATAAATAATATGATGGAAAACATTATATCTTATGATCATTACATATCATAAAACCAAAGGTACCTTTTCATTTATCCAACTCACACATGGCTATCACAAGTTTGAAAAACAATAGGCATAGAAAATATTTTTTTAAAATATAATTTAAAAATGTGTAAAATATCACGAGAACGTTTATATTCCGTTTACATTGGTCTCCTGTATTTATTACTTTGGCCTTTTGTATCGAAGACATCTGCGGTACAGGAGCGAATGAATTACTAAACTATCTGGATCAATTATTGTAAAATTAATATTATTTTTTTTACACCCACATTATCTACGCACAGACTACAAAACGAAAAAGTATGTCATTGCGTTCAACTGAATGAATATATTTCATATCCATTCTAGATAGTGAGAACACTGCAAAAAAATAAAATCCACCAATCACAGTTCATATTTTAGACACACTACTATTATTTTTAAAATTTTAAATAAGTGTCAATCCTGTCAAACTAATTGTCAGTATATTTTTTAGTTAGTAAGATTAAATATACATTAAAATGAGTTATTTTTGTGTAGAATCGATAAATAATAGCATTTTTATTTGAACCATATTTTGAAACAAAAATTAAATTTTATTCAAACTACACTCACCGGCACGAAAAACGGAGCAGTTGAATTTTTTTAAACAAACTTAAAATTTTAATGCTTTGTGATGTTTTATTATTATAATATCTTAAACATAAACAAAACAACATGTTTTAAGTATTTTCTAACAACAATTGAACCTTTATTTGAAGAAAAAAAGGGTTTTGTAACAATTTAAAAAACGAAGACGAAAAAGCACAAATTGGTGTTGTTGCTAAATGACCTTAAATTAATCAAAACTGAAACGACTTGCTAGCAAAAACTGGGGAGCCGCATTTTTAATAACGTGTGTTGCCCCCACGTGCTCGAATAATAGCCTGCATCCTCCTTGGCATGCCTAAAATTAAGTGGCGAATGTCCTCTTGAGGAATATGTTCCAATTCCTCTAAAAGAGCTTGTTGCAACTGATTTAAAGTTAAAGGAGCAGGAACACGACTTCGCATCCTTCGCCCAAGCATGTCCCAAACATGTTCAATTGGGTTCGCATCCGGGCTTAACGCTGGCCACTCCATAACAGGAATGTTTACATCGTTTAAGTACTGTTGAGTGATTCTCGCGATGTGAGGTCTGGCATTATCATGCATTAGAAGAAAGTCATTTCCAATAAAGTCAACATAAGGGACAACAAAATCTTGGAGAATTTCATCAATGTACCTGGCAGCAGTTAAGGAGTCTCTCGGAAGGATGATCAATTCTATGTGTGCCTCCATAGAAATTCCGGCCCACACCATAACTGAGCCTCCTTGGTAGCCTACCCTAGGACTGAAGGTACATTCTGCGAAACGCTTTTGTGGTCTTCGCCATACTCTCTCACGACCATCTGGAGACCGCAGGCTAAGTTTGGACTCATCCGTAAACAAAACGCGCCCCCATTCATTTTCACCCCAGTGCTCATGATTTCTGGCATACTGAAATCGCGCAATACGATGACACCTAAGAAGCTCTGGGCCTGTTGCAGGTCTATGACTGGTAAGATTGGCTTCTCCGAATCTTCGTCTAACTGTCCGTTCGCTTATGTTGGTTTGCCGGACGTGATGAAGTCGATTTCTGATTTCAACAGCCGTAGCATGACGATTTCGCAGACTTTGTAAGATGATAAAGCGATCATCATGAGCGCTAGTTCTTCGTTGGGGACCAGTTCCAAGTCGTCTGGTGTAAGCTCCAGTTTCCAAAAAACGTGTAAAAATACGGTGCACAGTGCTATTGAATTTGTGATACTGTTGGGCAACATATCGCTCACTTCTTCCGTCTTGAAGCAACGCAACAATAGCAGCCGCTATTTCGGGATTAACAGCCATAATTTTGTAGGTGAAATAAACGCAACACAACTTTAAAACGTGTTTCGATCTGTCAAATTTCTCAAAACAATGAAAACAACAGCATTGTTGGTCATGGTTTCATAGCCAACTATGCACTTTGAAGTGATAAGTCCGTTCAATTTTTGATTTTTATTCAAAAACGCTTTTTTTCTTCAAATAAAGGTTCAATTGTTGTTAGAAAATGCTTAAAACATGTTGTTTTGTTTATGTTTAAGATATTATAATAATAAAACATCACAAAGCATTAAAATTTTAAGTTTGTTTAAAAAAATTCAACTGCTCCGTTTTTCGTTTTTATAAATTGTTCTTTACTGTGGATAATCCAGTAAACACATATTTGTATTGTTTTGTATAATTACAGTACAGTTATAAACACTAGAGAGATAATAAGACCAGTTTACTTGCATTAGACTTAAAATTACTCTTAAAGTTAGTTTAAATTTAAATGTTGTGTATATTGTTCAACAATAAAAACAATTGAATTAAATAAAAAGTCCAGCCTTGCCGACAAAAAGTCGAGTTTTTGTTGGCTCTGTAAATTTTCGTATTTAAAGGTGTACTAGTTTATTTTTTTTTTAATTTTGTTTCATCGGCGTCGACTACTACGGCCATTAGCCTCGTGTTCTGTGTAGGCTTTGTTACTGTTTCCCAGCGCCACTTTAGGAACATCACTGTTAATTAGAACCCAACAGTGAATGGTCGAGTGGGGAATCCTACCAAGGCATCAGAATTAATTTTAAATAATTAAATTAAATGAAAAAATCCCGGCCAACGGTGGGATTCGAACCTGAGACCTTCCGATCTCAAAGTCATGACTCTAACCACTGAGCCAACCCACCCCCCATTAGTTTATTTGTTAATTATTCTGAGTGTAACTTAGTTTGAATATTGTTAGAACTGTGTTATATTATCTTGAAAGTTTCAGTTTAATAATAAATTACATTGATTAAAATAGATTAATGGTGCTTACATCCATTTAGGGAACAAAAAACTGGTTTATTTTCCTATTATTGAATTTACAAGGTGTATTCCATATTTAAAATAGTGTAATTAATGCCTCCAGTAAACTGTAAAAAGTGTTCAGCTTCAATTACAAAACGCAGTTACAGCATTGGCTGCAGTAAATGTACAAATTGGTTTTATAGGGATTGCAGTGATCTGTCTGTTAATGACTTCAATAATGTTGCCAAGGATTTAAAAAATCCTACAGGTAACAGATTCGTTTTTCCATCATGTAGGCCCACTATGTGCTCCACTGTTCCTTCATCCGATGATTTCTTATTTAATAATACTTAAGATTACTTGGATGGTAAGCTAGAGTCTCATATTAAACTAATTCATGATGAAAATAAAAAACTAATTGCCAAATATGACCAAAGAATCAAATGCTTGGAAGATGAAATGCTCTCCTTAAGAACTAAGATTAATTCTTTAGAGACTAATAAATCTTCTTCATCGCTTGAAACTACATATGATAAAATTTAGCAAAGGATCTTGCACTCTAATAACCCAATGGTTTACTACGTTCCAGAATCTAGCTCAAATTAATGTGTGTATCACTGATGATACAAAAGTTGTCCAATATATTTTAAATGTGGCTAGTGTCGGGAATAGTGAACTGTTAAAAGTTCGGTAGAGTAAATAATACAATATTAAAGCGATATTAACAAGTTCCTTTTAAGTTAAAAATGTAGTCACTTCCCGTAATAAAAATAGAGGCTAATGGATACAAACTCCGTTTTGATAAAAGACAAAAAATCCAACAAACTCAGTTAAGAAAAGCTTTGTATCAGATAATAGTAAGAAAGACTTATTTATAAAATATATTATTGGTTTACCTAATATTCAACAAAAAAACTAGATATAAAGAGTGCTAAAAAATTGAATGTGTATTTCCAAAATGTGGGTGGTATCGGAACCAAACTATTAGACCTAAGACATTCAGTTTTATGGAATGACTATGATGTAATTGTGCTGGTTGAAACTTGGCTCATTCCTGATTTTTCCAACAACGAATTAGGCTGGAGTGGCTACTCAATATTTCGCTGCGATAGAAATGTTCACACCAGCTATAAATCTAGTGGTGGTGGAGTGTTAATAGGAGTAAAATCATCCCTTAATCCTATTAATTTAAGCTTAAGCAAATCTTTGTCATTAAAAATTGAAAAGATAATTTTAATGGTGGGGTGTCTACATTCCTCCGAATTCCAGTGTTGAAATTTACAATGATCATTGTCGCACTGTAAAATATGTTATGGATTCATACCCTGATAATTCTTTGTATCTTATGGGTGATTATAACCTACCACATGCTGATTGGACATATGACATGGCTTCAGAAGACCATGGCATGTTATTGGATCTATCCAGCTAGAACAGTACCTGAAACTTTCTCATTTTATAATCTTAAACAGTTGAATTATATTAGGAATCAAAATAATGTTTTCTTGGACTTGTTTTTTCTTAAAGCTGTGAATCCACAGTTTTGGTTGAACCTATTGACCTGTTATTACCTTATAGTTACCATCATAAAGCACTTTTATGAACACTTAATATCAATAATTTGTTTGAATAACTCATAACTAATGAATATTATTTTGATTTTAAAAATGCTGACTACATTAGTTATAATAATTATTTTGCACCCATTAATTGGGATCAATTTCTTGCTGTTAATGATTTAGATTCAGCTATTCATAACTTAAAAACAGCTAGAAATAGATCTCAATAGGTTTGTATTACTATAGTATGTAAATATTTGTATTATTATAGTATGTAAATATTTGGCTAGACTCTGTATCCTGTATAATAAATAAATTTAAAACAAATATACAATCCTCTACATTTTTAAATTTTAAAGAGTATTTACTCTTTAGAGCATTTTTATATGCTCAAGGTATTAAAAAAGTATTCCTATAATAGCATCCATAAATAGTTACCTGATTTACAACTGCTTCAATTCCACACTCTTTAGCTATTTCTTCTTGAGGGGAATTCTGTGGCGCTTCAGGCTTTTCTAGTTTCTCTGTAGATTCAATTTCTTCTTTTATCGTATCAACTTCTTTTACAATTTCCACTACTTCAGTTACTTTTTTTTCATAAAGTGGTACATAGTGCATGGTCATAACATTATCAGAGAAAACTGTATCTTCATCACATTTAGCCATATTTACATTGAGATTTTTTAAAACAATAAATCGTTTTGTTGCAGCGAAAATATTATTCTTAAAAATATAAAATAGTTTAAAAAAAATTACACAAGACATTCTTGTTTCTATAAATTCTTTGGAAATTCCCAAATAAATTTTTCAAAATTACCCTTTTGTAATAATGAAAAGTGAAAATAGGAAGGATTGGAACTTCCTACAAATGCTGCCTTGCCAAATTTGCTCTATCAGGACATTAAATGTCCAGTTCCAGGCTGCCAACTTTTCAAATTCCATTTACCATACCGTGCAATTCAAATTACTGTACATGGCCTCCCAATACTGTACACTTTTATTTTGTAGAAAAACTATGTATTATCTTTTTGTCGAGCTTCTAAAAAAAGTTCTCATCATATTTTAATCAACCTCTGGTCCTTCTACCTAGCTTCTAAAAAAAAAGCCTTAGCTTGTAAAAACCAGGTTCTTTTAAAGAACATGTACTATAAAAAGATTAAAATTACATTTTTACAATCGACAATGTCATTAATCTTTATTTAACACAATAGTGATATCGGCCTTTGCACAACTTAAAGTCTTGGCTAATTCTGTTCTAAAAACCATACGTTTACCATACATTTGATGTAAATACAGTACTTTTATGTACGGTAATGACTTTGGACCATTGTTAATCTGAGTATTAGATTCAAATCTTAAATAGTGACAGAATAATCTAAATCCTCCCTCTTAGGCCATCTGTTTGTGTTATTCAGACTCAGGACATCTAAAGTCATACTAGTTGAATTGGTTAAAAAAGTGAGGAGGATATGAATTTTTCCATAAATGTTTTCACTTTGAGGGTTAAAAAATGGGTAATTTGAAAAATTTATAATGGAATTTCCAAAAAAAGTAATTTGTTTTTGCCTATATAACAGATTGTATTTCAGAACTTTAAACTGATCTATCAATATTTTTGTTTCTATCAATGACTGACTTGACTTTTAAATAAATTATTTATATACCAGTCCTGGAGGTCCATGAAGTGTTATTTCTGGTACACCTACATCTTGAATTGTTAAAGCTATTCCAGGTAAACCACCTATATTTCTCCAAACCGGCTGTGTAACAAAAATATGCTCCAACTTAGCTAGTTTCATTTTATGTTCATGGGCAAGCCTTTGGGTACCTTCTCCACAATTAAATAAATACCTTAAAAATCAATTGTTAAGCATTATTATGTACGTAAAATTAAAAACTAGTTTAAAGGTAAGGTTCCATGGGGTGATTTGCCATGATGTTACTAACTTTAGATAGAAATATAGTGGCTTCAGAATACAACACATTGTATGTGTATGTATCAAAACTATTATTCTAAAGACAGCAAGGTAATACATCATTTTCATATTTAAAAATGTTACTTAAATTTGCAAAATTGAAACTGCTTTTACAACACTTTGCACAATAATAAAATGATGAAAGAACTTACCTACTCTGGTCAGAAAACATGTACAGAGACCTAGGAGCACCAATTGCCCCTGTACCCAGCACTTGAAGTGTTACTTTACCTGGAACATACCTAGAAAGCTTTTCTTTTACTTTCTTTCTGTGCTTTTGAACTGTTGCTATATGCTTTTTATCCTTAGGCATGTTCTCTAGAAGGTTAAGTAGATTTGAGTTATGTTGTGAACAGTATCGATGCAATGACAAATGGCTAAAAAGGAAATGTTTCAGGACAATTAACATAAGGAAGTAGAAAGGAAAAAGTTACTTATGAAATTATGGTTAAATGGGACACTAAAATTCTGGGATTTTAAACAAATTCATGTTGACTAAAATGACAAATGACAAGTGTGTTTAGCACCAATGATATATAAGATCTGTTATATAGATTGTTCGTGTATAACCATAGATAAATTAATATTAATTTATCTATGAGAAGTACTGAATAAAAAATGCTTGCAAGGCAATACTTGAAAAAAATTAAACCATTTTACGACTTTTGGTTCCAATTTTACACCTATTTCAAAAAACGGTCACTTTTCGCCGTTGTTTTTTTACATAAGGTTCGAAAAATATATTTCACATCAGAAAATGCCTATGGTTTTTGACAACTGTCAACTGTCGATTAAAATAAGGTTATGTTTATAGTAATTGAAAGTACGTACGAAACGTGCTATTAGTCTACTGATATTGTTACAGTTAGAATCTTATAGATAATAATTTATAATGGCAGGTTTAAAAGTAAAGAAAAACAAAAGTAAAACCAAAAAGGTTACAAAAGATATAAGACCCAAAAAGCTTTCACACAAAAAGTTAAAAACCGCTAAACTTACTCAACGAAAACCAATGCTAAACGGCAAAGAAAAACAAAAACTTCAAGCATTATTAGATGAGGAAGTTCAAGAAAATGTAACATTCGAAGATAATATTGATAGTCCTGATAGTGACATAGATATGAATGAAATATTTAGTGATGATGAACACACATTTAGTAATGAAGAAACAAATAATGAAAGTGAAGATGACATTGGAAACGAAGATACAGCTAAAAAACACAAACAAGATTTAGAAAAACTGAAGAAAAGTGACCCTGAGTTTTATAAATTTTTACAAGAAAATGATAACAAACTTTTAAATTTTAATTTATCAGATGAGGAAGATGAAAAAGGTGATGATGAAAAACCGGAAGAAGATGATGTTCATCAGCCTTCAGAAAACCTATCTGTAGCTAGTGATGAAAGTGATTTTGAAGTAAGTTAAAATATAATTTAAAACTTGGGACAGCTCTTGGGACAAAGGAAGTAAGGGTCAATATATTAAGACCAAGCTGGGTATATGTATGTAATTTCGGTAAATGTCTAGTTTGAGCTCTTTTCATCTGAGGAAAAACTCAGCATATATACTTGTAGGGATCGACCGATATCGGCAGTGGCGGGGCAAGACCTAATTTTGATGTGGGCAAGATATATATTTTTCGAAACCCTCTGGTGGTGCAAGAAGATGGATTTTATATAGAATAAAAAAATGAAACTTACATTTTTATTTATAAAAATGTAAAACATCCATACTTTAACTAACATTATTAACTAATAATTACTTAAAGAAACATAAATCTCCTGCTTTTAGCTTTACTAAACTCCTTAATAACTGCGTCATAATCCAGTATATCTTCTTCAATAGATAAAATTGCCAAAACTGAGTGATGAAATTCAACGTTACATCCAATATATATTTAGCAATTCTAATTTCCGAACAACCCCCAACAGTCGTCCCTATAACCTGCACTGTTTCAGCTGTTAAGAAAGTTCTCTAACAGATGAATACGTCATTTGTGTCAGTCACTCCTCATTGGTTAAAAAAGCTCGCTTGGTATCTCATCACCTTTTGCCACTGCGTGTCCACCAGTCAACAACACCACATACGTTTTCTGTAATTAAAAAAATGTAAAGTAATTCAAGCAACATGGCTTAAGATAATAAATTTCCGAGAAAAATGTAATAAGTCAAGAAGAACTGAAAGAATGAATGATGGTGAGAAGGATTTAACGATAAAATTATTGAAGGGAAAACCAACCATCATAATGAATCTGCATTAATTATCAAAAAATTAAAATCAGTCCCATTACAGATATACTGCCAAAATATAGGAGGAATGAAAAGGTTAAAGTAGGATCGAATCTTTCAAAATCAATACAGTTCTTCTCAGGGGTACTTCAAATCTCACACTGTGCTCTACTACTTTTTAACTTATTCGTAAATGACATTGGGGACAATATCAATTTTTACAAATATATCTTATTCGCAGATGATTTAAAATTATATAGACCAATTAATAATTCCTATGACCATCTTTTACTTCAAAAAGATCTAAATTCATTAATAAATTGGTGCTACAAAAATAAACTCGACCTTAATGTGAACAAATATTATATTAACTTCTTTAAATCTAATAAAAAAAATAATTACGGAATACTCATTAAATGAAATCCCATTAAACAACGCTGTGTTAATAAAGGATCTTGGAATAAACTTTGATCAGCAACTAACATTTGTTAAACATATTAATGGGCTGTGTTCGAAATAGTAGTGGCCTCTCAGTTACCTGTTACAAACAACTTTATTAATCCTTGGTTATGTCCATTTTAGATTATGCTTCTATTGTCGGGTCGCCTCATGAAAACCATTTTACATCTCTTGAAAGAGTTCAAAACAAATTTTTACGTTGTTGTGAATTTAGACGTCATTCCTCATGTTAATAGAGATCATTTGCCTATTTTACAAAGGCTAAATATGGTTACTTTAAAAACTTGTAGGTTACTAAATGATGTATATTTCGTTTATAAGCCGGTAAATGGAATTACCTTAAGCTCAGAACTTTTATATATAATTAATTTAAATGTTTCCAACATGCAACTAAGAAATCAAAATCAATTTAGTATATCTTTTCACCATTCAAATTATGGTCAGTATTCACCTTTAGAAAGAACACTTACAGTTCTAAACAAACATAAAATCGATTTGTTTAATATAGGCCTACCTACATTTAAAAGCAAAGTAATAAGTAGGAGTATAATAGGGTTCTGGTTCTCTACATTAAGTTCCTCCACATTAGTATACTTCTTCTAATGAAAATACTAAAGGGATTGACCCATTCTCATATTCATTAAATCAGTTTAAGAATAAAATCAAAATATTGTCATAAATTAGCTGGTTTCTTTGTCGTTCTATCCTTATTTCATTACATGTTTGTCTATTTTTGTTAAATTTGAATAATATTCATTACTATTCTTATTTATTTTTATTATATATTATATACCTACTTGTTTCAGCCTTATTAGTATTTAAGCTGCCCTGTAATTGGGTGTACTCCTGTTTGGACAATAAAGGGTTTTTTCTTGCAACGTTTGTAATATTTTATTAATTTTTTTTGTGATATTTTTTGTATTTATATTTTTTTTTGTTTTTTCTTGTAATATTTTGTAAGATATAGTAATTTAAGAAAAAAAATCGATTATTTATTTTTGTGATATGTTGCAATTGTGTTACAATTATGATACCTATTTGTAAATTATTTTATTGAAATTTGAATGTATTATTGTATTATTTTGTCTTTAATGGGGGTTACCCGTATATATAAATAAAAAATAGTCAAAAATCATTTAAAGAGGGACGTCTTAGGAAAGAAATAAAGAAAGGAAAACAAAAGGGAAAAATTAAAGAAAGAGTGAAACAAAAACACTAAAAAACGCATCTTACAAATGATTCACTTTACATTTTGTAATCGAATATTATAGAAAAATGCAAATCAAAAAGAAACGTTCTGTTAAATAATATAACATTTCGATTTTTTGTTTTTAATATAATTATTTTATCAAATAAAATAGTTTATTTTCGACATTCTTAGAAAACATTGCCCATGGGAATTTTTTAAATTGACATCCACAGATATGTGTAATTACTTCTTACCTTATTTTTAATAAATTAGTAGTTTGTTTCCCTTCACTCTAACAAACAAAACTTTTAAAATGTTTAAACATAAAACTTTTTTTTTACTTATTTAATTTACCTATTTAATATTTATCATTTTCAAACCATGGACCACACTCATTCTCACATTAAAATCTGTTTAGAGAAACAAAAAACAAATTACTCATTCTCACATCAAAATCTGTTTAAGGAAATAGAAAACAAAATAAGTGTACATGTGGGATTTATAGGATTCTACCAATTTTGCATACTCAGTGAAAAAGGACAAGATAAAGTTTAAAACCAAATATTTTAAGTTTTGGTACATTAAAATACAACAAAAATTAAACTTTCTGTTCTTTTTGAGGTTAAACGATTTCTTGTGCTTTTATTAAGAGTAGCGGCTGGCCATCTCTCAGAATAACTTGAAGTAGATTTTTATTTCAAGGGGAAGACCTTTCTATAATATCCTCAACAGTCATATGTAATTCTTCTCCCCTTAGTCAATCTAACCAATACAATTAAAATATGGAAAGTAGAGATAGTGGATTATCTCATTTAGGATGCAACACTGCATGGATGTACAATTTGTTTGTAAACTCGTGCAGTGTTGCATCGTTCATGAGATAATCCACTACCTCTACCAAGTATGACACTTTACAATACACCTAATTTCCAAAAGTATTTTTGGAAAACATTTTTTTTGGGCGATTTTCATATTTTTGGAATAAATACATCCATATACCAAGGTTGGTCTCAATATCTTGACCTGAACTGCCCTAGTAGCCCAATCGGATTAGTATTTTAGATTCTGAAAAATTGGAAGCAGCAATTTTCCTTCGGAATTCGTTGGAGGGGGTCTCTGGTAGTCTAAATTCAAAAAGTTGGGATTCCAAAGTTGTCGCTACCTCCGCCATCTTGATTTAAAGGGTTATTTTTTGTATCTTGAATAACTCATTTATTTTCAATTTTACAAGGAAAATAGTTTTTACAAAAGTTATTTAAAATTAAATTTCCTACAATTCTGCTTTTTTTTGTACGATCGATTTTTTTCGATTTATACCCGAAAAGAGGGGGTGAATTTTTGGTTATAGAATAACTCGTTTATTTTCAATTTTACGAGAAAAATTGTTATAAACAAAGTTGTTTAAAATTAAATTTCCTACAATTCTGCTTTTTTTTGTACGATCGATTTTTTTTCGATTTATACCCGAAAAGAGGGGGTGAATTTTTGGTTATAGAATAACTCGTTTATTTTCAATTTTACGAGAAAAATTGTTATAAACAAAGTTGTTTAAAATTAAATTTCCTACAATTCTGCTTTTTTTTTGTACGATCGATTTTTTTCGATTTATACCCTAAAAGAGGGGGTGAATTTTTGGTTATAGAATAACTCGTTTATTTTCAATTTTACGAGAAAAATTGTTATAAAGAAAGTTGTTTAAAATTAAATTTCCTACAATTCTGTTTTTTTTTGTACGATCGATTTTTTTGTATTTATCCCTGAGAAGAGTGGGGGTGAACCTAAGTATTGTATTGTCACGTTTATTATTGATGTTGTACCGTTATTTTTTCTGTTTGTTTTTTTTTGCTGATACCTGGAATTAAAAAGAAACGTGATAATACAATGATAAGAGTTTACCCCCACTCTTCTCAGGGGTAAATACAAAAAATCGAGCGTACAGAAAAAAAACAGAATTGTAGGAAATTTAATTTTAAACAACTTTGTTTATAACAATTTTTCTCGTAAAATTGAAAATAAACGAGTTATTCTATAACCAAAAATTCACCCCCTCTTTTCGGGTATAAATCGAAAAAAATCGATCGTACAAAAAAAAAGCAGAATTGTAGGAAATTTAATTTTAAACAACTTTGTTTATAACAATTTTTCTCGTAAAATTGAAAATAAACGAGTTATTCTATAACCAAAAATTCACCCCCTCTTTTCGGGTATAAATCGAAAAAAATCGATCGTACAAAAAAAAGCAGAATTGTAGGAAATTTAATTTTAAACAACTTTGTTTATAACAATTTTTCTCGTAAAATTGAAAATAAACGAGTTATTCTATAACCAAAAATTCACCCCCTCTTTTCGGGTTTAAATCGAAAAAATCGATCGTACAAAAAAAAGCAGAATTGTAGGAAATTTAATTTTAAATAACTTTTGTAAAAACTATTTTCCTTGTAAAATTGAAAATAAATGAGTTATTCAAGATACAAAAAATAACCCTTTAAATCAAGATGGCGGAGGTAGCGACAACTTTGGAATCCCAACTTTTTGAATTTAGACTACCAGAGACCCCCTCCAACGAATTCCGAAGGAAAATTGCTGCTTCCAATTTTTCAGAATCTCAAGCCTGTTCTTCACCTAATTCGATTGGGCTATAGTCCCAAGAGACGAATCCGCAATTCTGTGGTTGAATAATTATTAAATATACCTACAACTACTTATTTCATAATTTAAATAAAATTGTGTTATTTAGAATGAAGACGATGAAGACAAACCAAAAGATGCAAGAATTATTACCCTTAAAATGTTGAAAACCTGGCAAGCTGAAATAATTGTGGATAAAAGTAATAAAACAATTATAGCAGTCATAGATGCTTTCCATGCAGCATTGTATAGGGTAACTAGTAATGAAGAAGACCAAGAACCTGCCTACTACAAAGTTGATGGTACTTATAAATAATTTATTAGAGCAAAATAATTTCCACTCTTAAAGTGTATTAACTAGATAATTTGAAAAATATTTTTTTCTCTTAAGGATCTGCTGTATTCAATGGTGTTATTCAACTCTGTGTGTTAGAGTTAGGTCCAGCTATTAGAAGATTTTTAGGTATTCAACCAGGATCAAAACAACCTCCACATAAATGTAAAAAGTTCATCAAAATTAAGAAAAATCTAAAGTCATATTTTACAGATATACTGAAGGTTTGTACATTCACTTTATTCTTTTTTTGCAATAAAATATACAAAAGTATTGGTTTAAAGATCTGAAAAATTATCAGTTGACCTAAAAATAAACTAATTTATAAGTTCATTGGAAATTCCCAAATACATTTTTCAAAAATACCCGCTATGAAACATTTATAATTACTTTTTGAACCTCCAAATTCAAAACAAATTTATTCTGTCCCAGGAAGGATTCCAACCTTCCACATCTGCGTTTTACGTGTCTTACGTACCTTACCAACTCAGCCATCAGGACATTACATGTCCGTAGTCTAAATTGTTAATTTAAATATTAGATTCAAATCTTAAATGTTGACAGAATAATCTAATATTCAAAATAACAGTAACAGCCCATGTAAAATGCAGATGGAATTGAACCCTTCCCATGGACAGATTTTTTTCATATTTTCAATACATTAATTTTTACTTTGGGAGTTCAAATAGTATATTAAATACCGAGCGGGGAAGTACTCTATTACAGCCAAGTGTCTAGGTAGATTAGTGAGGTGCAAAGCCCTGAGGCAAGCTACAGACGCGAGGCTAGAAACAGTTCCCTCAAGATAATTTCAAATAATACCTTTATTAATTTCTGTCATAATTTTATAAAAAAAAAAAATTAAGAAAGGTACCTGTGAGACCGTTTGCTAGGCATTATAACAAGTTGAACCTAACACATGTAATTATTTTGCCAGTTACAATGTATTAACAAAAATCATGAGATAGTTTAAGGGTTACATTTAAAAATTACATAGAGGTACACTGGATGTTGCTTAACTCAGGTACAAACTAAATAAGTGTTTTAAACAAAAACGCCAGTAAATTATTTTAGATTTAATTACTTTCATTTTTCCATTCTTCTAATCTATAGTTTGTCTATAGTTTGCCCCGTGGCCAATTACACACTAGAAAAATATCGTTTTTTACCTACATGAGTTTTTTAATATCATGTATTATTAGGGTTGCCACCTGTCCTTTTTTCAAACAAATTGTCATTGTGACTTTTTAAACTTTAAAGTGTCCTTTTTAAAACTAAACTAGAAGAAGGTATATAATGTTTGGCATTCTACTCTTCACAGTTTAACAGTCCCCCTTAACCCCCATATTTTCAATCAGGTTTTTTTTCTTTCTTAGGCTTCATCCCCTTATAAAGATTTTCTGAAAATTTCAATTTGATATCATTTTTTGTTTTTCATTTAATTTTTTTTACTTCAACCTACCTTGACCTCCATTTTGTTATTTTTTTTTAATAGCCTATTATTGTTCCCTTATAGACCTTGATTTTTGCCAAAAATTTCAATTTGATATTGTTCGTTTTCTTAAATATTTGAATCCTCATAACCCCCATTTTTTTAAATTTCTTTTCTTTTTTTTTTTCAATAACAATAAGCTTTATATAGCTTAATTTTTACTAAATATTACATGTTGGTTTGAGTCACTTTTTATTTACCATTTTTTCGAAAAAAAAAAAAAAAACGCTAGAGATGGCTGTCCCACCGACTTATTTCCAAAAGGTAACGTTCAGGAAAATCTAAAAAAAAATCACGAACCTTGTTAAAGAAATGAAACACTCGTGTACATCAGACGTCTATTGCAAGTAACTTATAATAACAATTTTAATGAAAATATATATGTATTAGCTTCCTTTCACCAAAATATCAAAACAATTCCACTGTACATTTTTTTTAAGAAACATGTATATGGTCTCATCCTGTATACTAGTTGTATGTATACAAATTATGAAAGCAAATAAAGAATTTTGTTTGTTTACTTTGTTTTTTATTTTACACATATTACTTTTTAAAGTTTATAAAGAATTTTTTTTGAAAAACAAAGTTTATTTATTGGAATAACTATAATGTTCATATAATGTTACAAACTGTCGATAATAATTAACTGTAGGCATAGAGAATGCTTAATAAAAATGGAAAGCTTTTACTGAAGAATCTACTAGTCTCTCAATTAAATAAATGAATAATATTCGTATAGGTAAAAAACTCGTATAGGTAAAAAACAAATTTTTCTATATTGTGTAATTGGCTACAGGGAGTTGATTTACTTACGATTTACACACAAAAATGCTAATTACTTTTACTAATCTAATGTTAAACTAAGCTAAAATAATATACTGGTATTGTGTTTTAAAAAAAGCATATGTTTCGTTGGTACCCGATTTATGCAACACCCTGTATACTTCTATTTAATTTTAAAATGTGGCCCTCAAACACCTCATTATTTTTGTTAATACATTTTTTTAATATCTCTTACAAGGAAGATAAGATATAAAAAGTATTGCCCAATTTGTCTATTAGACAGTTTGTCGTAATGTTAATAGTTTTTATAAACCTAAAGAGGCTCTGGTTTGGTAATATATGTCATTGTGTTACTCATGAAAGTATTATAGTTTACATTTTAATCTTTAATTCCAGATATTAGAGGGAGTGACGTCTTCAAATATTCAAACAGTACTTCTGAAGCATTTGCATTACATGTCGTCACTTTTAACATCTTATCCTAATTTAACCAAGTCCTTGATAAAACGTCTTATCCATTTATGGGGCACATCAGATGATTCAGTGAGAGTAGTTGCATTCTTTTGCATACTAAGAATTACAAATAACCAGCATTCTTCAATTATCGATATTGTTTTAAAATCAATGTACATGACATATGTGAAAAACTCAAAATTTGTCAGTTTAAAAGGATTAGCTGTCATTAATTTTATGAGGAGATCTTTGGTAGAAATGTTTGCTCTAGATCCAAATTTTGCCTATCAACATGTATTTTTGTACATTAGACAATTAGCTATACATTTGAGAAATGCTATTACTGTAAATAAAAAAGAGAATATTCAAGCTGTGTATAATTGGCAATTTGTTAATTCTTTAAAATTGTGGGGTAATTTGTTGTCAGTTACTTATAACAAGAAAATAATGCAACAATTGGTTTATCCATTCGTTCAAATTTGTATTGGTACTATCAAATTGGTGCCCACTGCACAGTATTACCCCTTACGATTTCATGTAGTGCAAATACTAATGGACTTGAGTAGAGATACAGGTGTTTTCATTCCAGTCCTGCCATTTTTATTAGAGGTAAGTCATTTTGTATAGTTTACAAAAGATCACACAGTAATCCTTATGACAGATGGTCTGTGGGAATTTCACAATGTAGATGTCAACCTCCTGATCATAAGTCACCATTGCTTCAAACTTTTATCTTCAATGGTTTGGATTCTACAGGGTGATAATATGTCTCAGGGCCTCCAGGATTTTGTATAATATTTGTTTATTGTTCTAATAACATACAGCTTATATCATAAAGATTTTTAAAAAATACGTAGCAAAAATATATGTAGATACCAATGAATTACTTTACTTTGATCGTATTAACTTGTTAAACATTTTTACAAAAGTGTTTCGAGTCTACTTCTCATCAGTTAAGCTTTGTTACATCGAAATGTATCGCCAAAATAATCAAAATATTGCTGTTTTGTGTTTGTGCGCTTATATAATTAAAATTTGATTCCTATATTTTTATAAATGAACAACCCAGGATCACATAATCATTAAGACCTGAGTGTTTTTTTTTTAACATACCATTTAAGAATATTATTTAGAACAAGAAAAAATAAAAATATTTTACGAACGGTTTTTTTTAATTCTTTCCAAAGAAAATGGAAAAATATAGTTTAGCTCCCTGTACACAGATAAAGATCATTTTTGCAACAAATGGTATGAAGTATTTAATAAAAAAAAAATTGATCATCTTTAATTGTACAGTATCAGGCCGGACGAAAACCTGTCAACTATCAAAAAGCTGTAGAATCCAAACCATTGAAGATAAGAGTTTGCAGCAATGACGAATTGTGATCATGAAGTCGACATCTTCAACACATTATCAGTTTCGTTAAATTCTAATGGAACGCTATTTGTCAGAAGAGTAGTACAGTATCCTTTACAATCCCAAAAATAGAAAGACAATAATTAAAATTATCGATTGATAATTTTAAATAGTATTATTTTATATTTGCAATAATTTTTGTTTATTTACTTATTTATTATAGTTAAATAATATAATATTAAAAAAAAGGAAAAACACTACAATACCATCGGACTATACAAGTAAAACTTAGACGTTCAGGAGTCACAAGTCTCTTTTAAGCACTAAAATATTACAATTAAATATATCACAGTCAGAGTAAAATTTATTATAGTTATTGCACAAGCGATCCATAAACGAACTTGTCCGCAATTGGTTCGGTGTCTTTTTACATTCAATAGTGATGTGTGCCGAGTCCGTCGGACAGAAACCAATAATTGAACCCTTTCTAGAAGTGGCCCGCACTTGATGGTATCACCTATTAATTTTGCCAGGAATAGGAGTAAGGCTGTTTTCTTCTGCCTACCACAAAGCAAATAACATTGTTTGATGACATGTGATGACTATGGAATCTGTGCTTAACAAGCAGGTATTTTAAGAATTCACGTTGCACCCTTTCAATTATGTTGATAATCTCTGATGTTGATGACAGTTGTAAGTGGGTTGCCAAATAACAGAACAGTATTCAGTACGTGTTGAGACGACTATCATCGTTCCACAGAATGCAATTCGTATGTAATGTCTCTCTCTCTCTCTCTCTCTCTCTCTCCTCTCTCTCTCTCTCTCTCTCTCTCTCTCTCTCTCTCTCTCTTCTCTCTCTCTCTCCTCTCTCTCTCTCTCTCTCTCTCTCTCTCTCGCTCTCTCGCTCTCTCTCTCTCTCTCTCTCTCTCTCTCTCTCTCTCTCTCTCTCTCTCTCTCTCTCTCTCTCTCTCTCTCTCTGTCCAGGACAGGGATTCTTATGTGCGAACTGCCGTATTGAAAGATGAGAATCCCAATGCAAGACACTTCTTACCAGGCTATTGTAAAGTGTCATGATTGCTTTTGTGTCATTCACGTACCTAGTATGTATCTTGATGGAGTCGAGCTTCTGAGGGCGTTGCATACTATGGAATCTATGAGGTTGCTAAAATATATTGTGGTATCAAAAATAATGCCCAGATCAATAACTGTCAAGAACTAAGTCGTGGCTGTCAATACTCTTAACAGTTAAGAGTAGGATTATGGAATTTTGTAAAATGTATGATTGTGCACTTAGAAACATTTATAGAAAAAGCGTTATTTTTACACCAGGTAACAAACATATTTAGGTCAGCCTGTAAGGCAGAGTTATTACCAATATGTGAACCTTGAGGAACACCGAACAAGATGGAATTATGCACTATGACACGTAGACATCGTTTACTCAAATAAGATTAAATCCTGTAGAGATGAGAACCGGAGATATCGATTTCAGAGAGAGCTTTTTAAGTAGCAAATCATGACAAACACTGTTAAACGCTTTTGACAGATCGGTGTAAATATTGTTGTAGATCGTGAAGTCAACCGAAAATGGGGCATATAGAGGATCAATGTTCGACAGTGAAATATCGCTACATTTGCGTTAAATTGATTCAAACTCAAATATGCAATTTCACTGGGATTTAACAGAACATAACATCATATACCCATATATAAGATCGAATATATGGTAAGGCAAACCACCACTTTTGTCAAATTAATGTTCTAGAACCGTTTATTTTAGAAAAAAAAAGTTGTTGCTTTTGAAGAGTTAAAATACGTAGTATAAATTATGGTATTTCATCTTGTTTTGTGTAGTAGAACCTCTTATTGTTGAATAAAAATAATAGAAAGTAATATAATAAAATAAGTAGCAAAATTCAATATATTTATTTTTTTTACAGAGCCGAAGACACGTGCGAACTGATTTTTATGATTTATTATACTTTTTTGACTAATTTTATCCCAAAAACTAAAATAAATAATGTAAATATCCATCTTGGTTCACACTTGGTTTGTATTTTTAGCTGCTGACTACCCAAGACTTCAATAAAAAACACAAAAAGGTTTCCATGAAACCTCTACACTTTACATGTTTATTGAGATTATCAAAATCTCAGTTACAAGAAAACGGGTTCAAAGATATGGTAATAGAAACAATTTATGGACAGTTGTTAGAATATTTGAGTTCTCAAGTCCCATAAATTAGGATTTCCTGATTTAAATCTGCTTTCTATAATACAGGTAAACATTTTTTTTTATAATTCAATTCATTGTAACATTTTAACGAAATTCACATCTACAGATCGACAGGAATAGCAAAAGCCATGACATGCGCCAATTTGAGTCCAGAAGGGGAGAACAACTCATGCCGCGTTGCCAAATTTATTGGTATTATGTAGTTCTGCTCACGTAAAATACTAAAATGGATACACAATTGATGATTTTATATTATATTTATTGTGGGTGTAACAAATAATATTAAAGTTAGATTATATTTAACAGGGGTTGTACATTTGTTCTTGTCCACTCTGTTATTTAGAGTATATAGTCTTGCTTGGTCTTTTTTTATTAGTCTTAGTAGCTTTGTTAGTGGATCCCACATGAACTTACATGCGTTTGGCTTTTCTTACTATTAAAAACATCAATCTAGCCAGCCCTAGACACTGACACAGGAAGTAGATTGATGTTTCTACTTCTTCACGGAACCTGCACCATGATGCTTTTTCTGGTTCGACGGCACTCATATACCTTCTTAAGTGACAGTGTCCAGTAAGAAGACTTGTTATTCAAACGATTTGTTTATTGATCCATAGATCTTTCATAACGTTGGCCAACGGTTCCTTGATAAACTCTGGCCCGCATCAATCCTGGATAGTTTGATCTACCATTCCTAAGATTATTTTTGTATTGATTGTTTGATGGATGCCTTGCATAACATCTTAGCAACTCCACAGAATTATTCGGAGCCTGTCAAGGCATTATCTTAGCCTTCTCAGGATAGTTCATTGTCCTAATGTTCTTCCTGGCCTGGTACTCACAGCTCTGTCGGATCTTCGAGGCAGTCTTTCAGCAGTCGTGATTTGATTTTTTGAGAGAATTGCCTTTAGAGCTGTTTGTCTATCAGAGTAGATGGCAATAGTTTTACCTGATACTTGCTGATTTATTTTTCTCTCAACCAGTTTTATATGGTTATTAGTTTGGCCTGTTGAACTGTTGCATATTTTCCTACACTCAAAAAAATCGTTGTTTTCGACTTTAGTCCAAAGAGTCCAGCACCAGCTTCTTCATTAGTTTTTAAACTGTCTGCAGAACAGACAAGTTCAGCCTGATGAAATGTCCCTGTTTTCAGGATTCTCGGGTTATTTGTCATTGAAAATGTCTTTCAAATTTTTATGTGGTTATGGCTATATCAGTAGACATTTCTAGAGTCACCCTTTTTAATTTGCTGGTATAGCTTTGTATGGTACACACTATGTAGTTGGCTTATTGGGTTTGGAAGTTGAAGTGAATAATCTTTTACTAACTCAAAGTTCGATTTTAAACTTATTTTTAAAAAATATAAACTCTTTGAACAGTACACAATGTATTAACTAGTGATGTAAAATTCTCGAGCACTTATTTTTGGAGAACGTTCCCCGAGCAAAAACGAGCATGAACGAGAATAAAGGAACAACAAAAACGAGAATTTATGTTTGGGGATTAGTAAAGTATTCGAAAAGCTTTTCGCAGTTTTTTCTGAAAATGCTGAAAATTCTCAAAATGCTCAAAATTCTCCCAATGGTTTATAAGAAAATGACACTGTAATAATATTCTGTGTTGCAAATAATACAGCAATAAGTTCTATCATTAAAAAAAATATTTATTAATTAAAAAAAAAAAACTGAAATAACATAAGTAGCATGTAGAAATATAGTGCAAGAAGGAAACTTAATCTGCAATAATCTAAAATACAATTTTAGGTCAGAAGTAACCCTTTTACCTATTAACCAACTCTACTGTCCAAGTGTCAAGTGAATTGAATTAAACAAAAAAATATAAAAAAATGTACGTCACAACATAATTGTACATCTTGATGTCCCTCTAATTTGATATTACCAAAGTGACAACCTATTTTATTTTAGAAAAGACTTAAAGTTTGTAAAAACACCACATTCGAAAAATGTAAAAAAATGCCTCGCATTTTCTTCTGGGCAAACTGATTGAAGCTATAAAGAATAATAAATCTAGTACCTAATTTTCTACGGAAAACAAAAAAAACACTAACCTAACCACAAGCGCTGACCTTTACGCAACGAATCGAATGTGTTAATACCAAAAACAAGGGAGTTTACAATGACAGCACCAGTATGTGCAATGCACGCGGATGAAGCGCTCCGATTGGCTGGGATCGTGCTCAAAATTCTCGTTCGTGTTGAAAATTCTTGTTCGTGTTGAATTTTTTCCCTGGGGAACGTTCGCTCACGATGGATCGTTTGTGCGTGGAAGAACGATCTATCTTACTCGCACGAACGATTTTTCATGCGCGAACGTTCACCCATAGCATGATGGGAACGTTCCACCCTTTACATCACTAGTAGCAAGAGACTGAATTAAAAATGAAAGAAAATATTTATTAATATAGCATAATAAAATAAAATGAATACATCATATTTACTATTTTGGGCAAGAGACTCCTTTTCCAAAATGAACTGAGACCCCCATAGCTAAATTACTATAAAAATCCTATATCTAGTTTTTTCCTATTGATATAAAATACTTACCAATTTAAAAACTTGCGGTTAGTTAAGTGAGTAAACTTGACATCATTTTCTCGTCAAAATTTAACAAAATAGACATAAAATTCAATAAATATCAAGTGTAATTCTACCAATCTAGCTAAATCTGGTTCAATATTGCAGCCTTAAATATCAGCGTTCTTTGATTTCGACTAGGTATGATGATGGAAAAGCGATAAGGTATTTTTCAGCAATGTTCCACAATACAGGATACTGTTTCAATGTTGCAATGCAACCAGAACTTCTGATAGCCTTGGTTGAATTTCTGCTTAAGCTCACCGTCTGTGCTGATGGTGATCAACTCTTCTTGCATAGTTGAGCAAATAACCGAGAGTTCAAAGAATTGCTTCGAATCTTGTTGACAGCATTTATAACATATTATAAAGACTGGTGCAATCTAGGACTCAGATTTTTGGCTACTAAATGTTTGTGAATCAGACAGTGAATGATCAGTACCTCAGGCAGTTGTCGATTTAAGTAAGTTATAAAACCACGATGACGACCAACCTTAGATGGTGTACCAGTCGCAACAGAAATAATGTTCTTCCATGGAATAGCTTTGTCGATAAACGTTTCACGGCCTGAAAAATCGATTCTCCTCTGGTATCAGTCTCTAAATATGTAGCAAAAAGCAGTTCTTGGCACATATTTTCATCTTTAATGTATCGAACATAACAACAGAGCTTCATTGCCGGGTAATGTAGACTCGTCCAACTGGAGAGAGAATCTATTGGTCTGTAAAATGTTTTCCATGTCTCGACCCATCTTGTCTATTTGTCTCTGAACAGTGTTATTGCTCAAAGGAATTATCTTTATAATATGTTCGGGCTTATGCAATACATTGTTGAGGACCTCCTCAATGGCTGGAAAAATAAGCTGCTCTTCAATTGTTCGGTTCCTTCGATTTCGCTATTAGTAAAGATATATTATAGGACGCTCGAAAACCATCAACGTCTTGCATAGATGATTTCGCAAAAATCAGTGGCCTTTTTTTCTGCTTTTTCTCTAAGTGCTTAAAAGAATGACAAGGGTTTACTTTTTTTGTCAGCATGTACTCTTGATAAGTGGTCCTCCATTTTTGAAGACTTCATAGCATCGTTACTGAATACTTTTTCATATATGAGACACATCGGTAAGTGTTGATTTGATAGAGATGGAATAAATCCAAACTTCAATTAGTCCAAACTATATTGTCTCCATTTTTTTTCGTGTGTGCCATCATAAAACTCGCAGTAAACCTGCAAATCAAAGTATGCTTTCGAACTTACTCATTGATAATCTTGGATATAGTCACTGTGGTATATAAAATTTTTATTAGGTACCAATCAGCGTAAAAAACGAAAACAAAAAAAGCAAAATTTGTAATTTTAGGTAGGTAACAACTTTTCTAATTGTAATTTTTTTGGTACTTACCCTATTAGTTTTTCATAATCTGCCGAAATGTATGGTTGCGCTATTAACGCGCGTAGGGTAGCTAAGCACTTTGTAAATTCTTTTTCAATTTTATTTTAATTCTCTTTATTTAACTATGTAAGTCAACAATAATACTTCCTACTAAGTCATTTTTATAAGTAGCTGGTACACGTAACACAACTTATACAGTATCTTGAATGTTCCGAATAAGAACTTGTGTTAATAGGGGTCGATGTTTAGACCTCGTCGACTCCCAAATTCAGTTTTAGTTTATGTCGATCCCTGGGAAACCGATTTCGACCCCAAGGGGTAGGTATCGACTACTTTCGAATCCCTGATATATACAATAGCGAGTTTAGTAAATAAAGCATTATTTTGTTTAGGGAGGGCTATGTATAAGAGTTGACATAATTAGTAATTTTATAGTTAAAGATTTACATGTATGACCCAAAAAAGGATTAATATTCTTAAATAAATCATAGTATTAAATTTTAAATATATATTTATTTATTGAATAACATACGAAAAGTCCCCAGTATAATAAAAAAATATACAAAAAAAAATTTAAAAGATACTTGTTATACCAACACATAAGTCAGTTAAATGAGAAGTAATAAATCATTTTGAGGAGTATATCTTACTGTTACTCTAAATTGAGTGGAATTCTAGACATTCAATATCCGTTAAGTTTAATAAAACATTATAATCATAGTTGCCAATTACTAAACCTAATCTGATTACACAATATCTCAGAAATTTGTGTTGAACAGACTACCTAATATGTACATTATAAAATGGAGATCAAACTGGCAACCCATATTCCAATATTGGCATAACATAAGACGAGTAAACAGTTTTAATGAATTTTTGTGAGAGATTGTTCGAGTTCCTTGAGACGAAACCTAAAGTTTTGAGAGCTCTATAAATTAAAAACCAGCATTTATATTAATTATTGTAGAAAGTTTCTTTAATACTGAGAACTGATGACTTATATTGTATTTTGTTTTTTTTTTATAAAATTCGATAAGAGGTTTATTTTCATTGGCTTCCTCCTGCGTAAATTACAAAATATTTAATTTCAAGAGTTTATTCACTTAGAACGCGATTTTGTACGGCACTTACATTTGGCAACGTCTCAAAATACTCAACTTCGAGTCTAATGTATTAAGATCCACCTCGAAAAAGCGGAACGAATTGGAGCTCTGGTCTTCTATTCTCTGCGCATATGGCGGCTACAGCTATATCTGTCGTATTGTACTATATTTCAATTCCTATTAAATGAGTTATGGAATTATGGCCTTTATTTTAGATTAAGAAGTTTCTTAAAACTTGCAAAAACCCCAACTACTCTCGAAAATTCAAACAGCTCATCGAAAAAATAGAACAAAACTCCAAATTTATCGAAACTGAAAGATCCAAACTAACTTTAAACTTAAACGAATTTAAAAAAATTGAAGGATGGGAATCACAAATTAAAGAAAAGAACCCTCCCGTAACAGTATACTATGAAAGTTGGAATAAACTAAGAACAGTCAAGAAGAATAAACAACTAACGAGAAATGACGAGTTGGCTGATTATAAACTCCCATTAATTAAAAAGAGTAAGAAAGTTGCAAAGAAAAGCGACGGACCTGTGGAACTATTTCCTAGTGACTCTGAAGATGAAGAAGAACTCCATACGAAGACGACGAGAGGAAAAAGGGCAGGAAAGAAATTGAATAAAAAATCTAATGAAGTTTTTAGAATGGATGAAGATGATAACAATGATAAAGATATTGTTCAAGATATAGCAGTAGATGATTGGTGATATGTTGAAAAATTTATTTTATATTTCATTTTAATAAACTGTTAAAAAGTTATTTGGTGGTTTGTTTTTGTTCTATAGATAATTCAATGGTATCTTCTTCCGAACTTCCTCCATTACTCCACTACTAATCAGAGCGACTCGCCAGTCCTTTAACTTTAGCCCATGGAGGAAGGATGCATTCTAGCTTATGACATCTAGAACCTACAAGTATGATCATTCCTTCACAACTAGGGCAGCTAAACTGTGGAACGTTCTTCTCTCTTCCAACTAGTTTTTCCTTATCCTCCTAATACCCAATCCTAGACCTTCATTAACAAGCTATCTCTGCTTTTCCAGAAACGTCCGCGGTAAATAAGTACTTAGGTTTTTACCTCTATAAAAAATAAGTTAGGTACAAAGTATTTTTTATTGTAATCTTTGTCTTTAAAAAACATTCATTCAAGCAAAAAATAAAACGAGGAAAACTGGTAATCATAACATAGGCGGTGGAGATGAGGATGAAAATTTTCACAGTGTAGATAAAACAGAAGAAAATCTGGCTTTTCTTGTCAGGAGTCCCTGACAACATTACAGAAAATATAAAGGCATACGTTATAAAAAAGGCGCACAAAACATGTATGTAAAGAAACTTCCAATATACTTTGTCCAATCTAATAACCAAGTATTCATGATAGGAGTTGATACCCTTTTCGAGTCAACTACTACTGAACTTAAAAAATTGAAAGTTCTGAATTGGTTAAGACAAAAAGCCAATGATCCTTTCTTAACAGAATATTATAAAACAAAAAAATCTCTGGATATAAAAATCTGCTATGAGAAAAAATTTATACACCATTCTAATATAAAAATATGGTGACGAATTGATAACCTCCTCCTTTTTTGAAGTCGGTTAATAAACAACTTAAATAAAGCTAAATCTCTGTGGAAACAACACTGGAGAGAGAAAAACAAATAAAAAAATCTTGTCAAATAATGAGACAACTAACTAATAAAAAGAGATCGCAAACACATTCAGTTACTACTTTGCAAAGATCAACAGCTTAAATATAACCCTTAATTCTTGCACATCAAGTAAAAGTAAGATAAGAGGTCCGAATTCAATATTTTTTGCACCGATTACTCAAGATGATATTAAGGCGGCAGTTTAATACGACCTCCTCGGCGATCGGGAACCGTTACATATCTTATATTCGAACCCGTCGTAACAGCGATAAACTAAAAACGTTCTCAAAACTATTTTCCCTAATTTGAACGGAAGCTTCTGCTGCTGACTAGCAGATGAACGCATTTTGTGGACACGACGGATATATTGTAGTGATGCCGATACATATTATAAATCCCGATGTCTTATTTTTTTTTGTAGGAATAGAAATAGTATTGGCATAAAAATATTTTATTAAAATGCATCTTTGCTTTAAAAATAACGGAACTTATAAATGGAAGGGGACTGTAGCTTAACTTTAGCACTATATGTCAGGCCAATGTATAGGACTGGTGTATTTTTTAATTACAAGCATTAGGTTTTACATGATAATATTAATAGGATATTTTGAAGATGCTCCAAAAAAAATTACTATATTTTTTATATCTCAATCTTAGATAAAAGAGACCGAAGATGTAACATTGCACACTGCGCATGTTGTCTGTTTTAACTCCATCTTTGCTTTAAAAATAACGGAACTTATAAATGGAAGGGGACTGTAGCTTAACTTTAGCACTATATGTCAGGCCAATGTATAGGACTGGTGTATTTTTTAATTACAAGCATTAGGTTTTACATGATAATATTAATAGGATATTTTGAAGATGCTCCAAAAAAAATTACTATATTTTTTATATCTCAATCTTAGATAAAAGAGACCGAAGATGTAACATTGCACACTGCGCATGTTGTCTGTTTTAACTCCAAGTAACCCACCAATTGAAAATCATTGTTTGCACGACGCCACCCGAATTGCTCCGATTTCCTATTCAACGCTCACCTCCGCCTGAGTTCAATCACCATTGACAGCTGTTTTTTGATTTATTTGTTGGTGTTTTAGCAATTTAAGGTGTTCTAGTTATTCAATTTTAAGTTCAAAATGCCACGATGTATCTTGAGAAATTGTATATACTTATAATACAAGTACCAATGTTATGAAATATAAAAAATATATTCGTTTTCAGCGGTAAATATTTATTAACGTTTTGACATAAAGCGCCATAATCCTTTGAGCTGAATACATCAGATCCGCATTAAGGGATTTCAATAAATATTCATCAAATACATATTTCAGAAAACAGATTTCGTATTACTTACATACATTTACAAAAGGGTAAAATTTTAAATATTTAATTTAAATAAGAAGTAAATAGACATTGTTGCTAACGAAATTTTGTTTTTAAAAAGTAGTTTTATAAGAATATTTACTAAAGGTGGTTTTTAGCTCTTTTTGGTAGATAAATAAGAAGTAAAGAAGCATAGTTGATTAGTAGTATTTTTATAGGAATATTAGATAAAATACAGGATGAATAACTTAAAATTTCAAGATAATGTAATAATCGATTTTAAAGGAAATACAAAAAAAGTAGATTTATTCAAAATAATCAATTAATTGAAAATAATCGATTTATCGTTTAATCGGTGTTTTAATCAATCGATTATTTTCAATTAATCGATTATTTTCGATTAATCGATTATTTTCGATTAATCAATTATTTTCAATTTTTCAAAGGTATTATATGAAAATAATTGATTGATCGAATATAATTCGTTATTTTATATAACCAATATTTCGGTTATTTTTTAGAAATATCGATTTATCGGTTAATCAGTTTTTTAATAATTATTAATTATTTTCGATTTATTGATTTTTATCGATTATTTTAGATTTTTCAAAAATAATAGAATAATCAATTTTAAAGGAAATATGAAAAGGATTATTAGAAAATAATCGATAATTCGGTTATTTTTTTGGAAAATAGATTTATCGTAGAATCGGCTTCTTAACTAATCGATTATTTTCGGTATTTCAATGATAATCAAATCATCGATTTTAAATGAAATACAATAAAATAATCGATTGATCGAAAATAATCGATTATTTAAAATAATCGACAATTCGGTTTTTTTTTTTGAAAATCGATTTATCCGTTAATCGACTTTTTAATTAATCGATTATTTTCGATTTTTCAAAGATTATCGAATAATCTGTTTCAATGGACGAAAAAAAATGGATTATTTGAAAATAACGATTATTTGAAAATAATCGATTATTTAAAATAATCGATTATTTAAAATAATCGATTATTTAAAATAAACGATAATTTTTTGTAAACACTGATTTATCGATTAATTGTCTTTTTAATTAATCGATTATTTTTCATTTTTCAAAGATAATCAAGTAGTCTATTTTAAAGGAAATACGAAAAACAATTAGATTGAAAACAATGGATTGATCGAAAATAATCGATTATTTTCAATGATCGATTATTTATTTCGACAATTACTCATCCTCTATATTAATTAATATTCCTAAAGAAAGAAGCTGAGGTTGCAATACAAAACAGCATTTTCTCATTTTGACTAATTTTTAATATTATGTAATAGCCGTAGGAAAAATATAATGTTTGACTCAAAAGGTTTGATTTGCAGTATTCGCCTGCGCACATGCTTTTTTATAATACTCGTAGACAATGAGTACCATTTCTTGCTCTATTAACAATATTAGTAGTAGTAAATATACGCTAACGAAATATTCTATAAAAGGTCTTCTTTTTACATAAGATGTCGTGCATCTGTTTGATATTAAAAAATCACGTTAATTTTATTTCATAATACAAAATTCCATTAAACATATTTTAAATAAATCTAATAGTTCATTATGATGCTAATAAACAAAGTCCGGTCCTTGTCACAGAGTTCGGGTTTCTGCCCAGTTCCCCCACTCCGTTAAACTTTCTTTAGAAATTGGCAACATTTGCGCAGGTTAAACACCGGTGTATGTTATATCTCTGGTCTCTTTTATCTAAGATCTCAATATATTTTTAAAAAGGAGTGAGTACCGGGCGTATTGATTATACGATGCTTTTTGACATTACTATACCACGAAAATAATATTTAAAAATAACATTATCTAACTCTGTACGAAATATACAACATTCCAGTTATTCATTATCTTTCTCTACTTTGCTAAGATTAACCGGTATAGACGAGCTGGCCGCTTACAACATGTAGAAACAGAAGAAATTAGGAAGAGCCAGTGGCGTCGTGATGTGTGTTTATTATTTAAATATTGGTTAGTTTGTTTAAATTTTTTCTATTTATAATTGTTTGGAAAAAATGACTAATCGATAACTTTAAAAATTCTACGCCAATGGAAGAAAAGGGGCTTGAGTATGAAATCTAGATTGCGCAACTCATTTACTTTAAAAAAGGTACTCTTGATAAGACTCGATTACTCTCATGGTTTTGACGAAATTTGCATTTTAGTAATTTTAGAACATAAACAATAATTATTAAAATACAAACTTTGTCAAAACCATGAGAGTAAATCGAGTGTTATCAAGGGTACTTTTTTGTAGTAAATGAGTACCCAATCCAAATTTCATACTCAAACCCCTTTTTTGCCATTGGCGTAGAATTTTTAAAGATGCAATAATTAAAAAAATTAAGTTCTACGCCTATGTATTATTATCGGACAAAATTTTATACGATGAAAAACATAAAAATGTACTTTTTTCATATCTTCTTCAACACCTCTAATCGAGACTTTTAACAAAAATACTCGATTCTTGCCATGTACGATTTTTTGAGGAATATTAATTATTTGCCTGCAATACGTATACAAAAACATTTATTGTTGGTTTCCATAGTTTCATCTAAATAAAAATATTGTCAAGTTTGAACACCTAATCTCTTGTTAACGATTGAAAGTGTTCTATCTGACTCAATAATTAAAAAAACAAATGCGTGGTTTATTAATATGGCTGTAAAATATACCAATGCCGAATATACCGATATGTTACTGACATTAGGATTTTGTGAAGGAAATGCTCGAGAGTGTCAGGGTG